TATAGCCAATACATCCTTAACGGATGAAATCCTCGATCCGATAATGAAGAACTGTATTTTTTATACCATTTATCTCGTTATTTATCCCAGAAAGCCGCACACGTATGTACCTATTCGATGATCAAACTTGGAATCAAACGAGAAGTACACATAGTAGAACGTGGTGCAACGCAGCGAAGAGTTTCCATGATTATATTGAAATTAATTTGCCCGCAGAGATGGCTTGGTTAAATACGATCACCACGGCATGAATCCAGATTTCATGATGGTATTAACCAAACGCCGTGAGTCGAACGTTACTGTATTACGAGAACCAATCACGTTCGGGAATAATTCTGTAACTACGTACTACTACTATTTCGACATTCCCGTTAATACTGCAATGATTCTAACCAGGGATAATTGTCGATTACCCGAGCTGGCCACGGATTGTTATAGATCGCGTAACCATCCTGAAGGAAGACGTCTCCGCACGAATAACATTTGAAACGCCTATTTGAATGTCCAGAACTTGAAGCGAATACAAAGAAAGATTAAATTTCTTTACTTCAAGCATGAAAATTCCCTTTCGTGCCGGTATTCCGTCAGTTTGCAAAGAAAAACAATTATGCATCGTGTTTATGCAGGGAACTCGTTGGATTCTAGACGAACTTATAATACAAAGATTTACGATACTAAGTACAAACAATTTGTGTGTGTATGCACGTTATTCCAAACTATGGAATTCATTGAGTCACGTACGTATCTGTACAGTTTGACGAATATTCTAAAGCGACAGAGGCACTTGTTGCGGATAAGAAAGCAATATAAGATTTGCTTCCATCTTATAATATAAATCGTATTACATCATCTGAAATAAGCCATCCATTCGTTGTTGTACCGAATCGCCGTTACGAAAGACTCTCCCAGAGAATTGATTGTTCGGATTTCAAAGAAATGGGCGCACAATGGGTGAAGCGTGACCGCGGTGTTCAGAAGTGAAAAGGAATAACAGATTTATCCGAGGTAGATAACGCTTTTCACTCGGGTCGATCTCCGCCTACGTTAATTTTTTTCCACGATCTGTTTTCCCTCCGACAGAGAAGAGAGCCGGGAACAAGGTAGCCGACGTCCCGGCGAAGAACGTCCGGAACGTGGAACAAAATTCAGGAACGAGACGGCGACACGAAGCGCTTTACCCGTTCTTCGGATCGTGAAACCGTCTAAAGGGGAAACATACTTGAAAGCCCTAGGATATTCTAGGATTTCATGATGTCATGGTTAACGAAGTTCCGGCCGGCACGATTCCATTGAATTAAACACGATGGCTCGTTTTTATGATTATTCGCGACCGACGATCAACCTCGCACTCCGGAGTGCATTTAACCGTGAATAATAGAAATTTTCTAAATGGAATTAAATGGCCAAGGGCGAGGCAAATAAAATGTGATATGGGAAGTTTGCTTTTTAACGAGAAAGTAAGCAAACAAAAAGTAGCAATCCGATAAATATTAACTTAAACTTTTAATGCTTCTTTCTGTTGACCTGCAAATGTTAAGCTCGCAGTCCCAAATGCGTTCGCGATATAAGAGTGTTAAACGTTAATCTTTTAAGGTTTCATTAGAAGATAGAGATAGATCGGAAAAGTGTTAATGAGATTTTACGCAATAGTTTTTTAATGGCACTGTCGTCGAGATTCTGAACTTTCGAAACTTTTCAAAATGCTTCGGATCCCTTCTATCTAGTTTACAAATAATCCAATCGATTTTACCAGCATTAACCAACTTTCGTTTCTACAAGGATTTCACGTACAAACAGGGAAACTCGTTAAAAGACTGTCAGGAAATGTTTGCCGAAAATAAGGCAATACGAATAAATAATTGCGAATCTGACGCTGTTACGTTCGACGATAAGAAAAATGCGCGAAATTATTTCCTCTGTAATTAAAGGACGATGTTTATAATTTCAACGCGAGCATTTCGTGACGCAGGAGATCTGTTCGTGGTGGTATTCAGCTTGGACTGTCGGGAGTCCTTTGAGGAGGCCATCAGGCTGCGAGAATCGATCCTGGAAACTAAAGTGAGCGCGACCCAAAACGCTACGAAAAGCAGAAGCAAGAGTCACTTTAACTTGAAGGTTCCTATGGTCATCGTTGGAAACAAATGTGATAAGGAAGTTAGGTACGTTAGCATATAATTGCATCGAGAAAATTCATTTTCCCATTCCAATTTCATTTCCAGCATTAAGATTTTCTTAATTATCACCTATGAAAATTACTTGCATTATCATTTTCGTAATTATGAGAATTCTACATTGATAAAAATCCTTCTTGCTTCGATATTCTCATTCGTAATGAACGTTGGACGAAGCGATTTTTTTATATCACGTGTTCAAATCTATTCGAAATGAAAATGAACGACGAATCGAGTGAGAAGAGCGGTAACGGAAGTGCGTCGTTTTCGGCGAAGATTAACACGGGAACGAGATTACAAACATGTTGCACGGATTTCACAGAGTAGTCGCAATTGAGGAGGCGGAGGAGTACTGCAACAGTCAAGACGATTGTTGCATTTTCGTCGAGGCGTCCGCGAAGAGGAATTACCACGTGGAGGAGCTTTTTTACCAGCTGTTTGTGGTGGCTGGCTTGCCACTAGAAATGGCCCCGAATCATCACAGGAAGGTCCCCCTCACTTTCGGTTCACCCACCATGCTACCACCGTCACAGGTAAGAAATAATAATCATTGCACGATCGTTACTGCGTGAATTCTTTCTGCACCGCTGAATGAATGAACGAAGAAAATCATATACTAACTAAAACTAAATCGGATATTTAACGAGCGTTTGGTGCTGAAGAACGCAAAGTAAAAAGTAAAAATGTTGTTTCGCGGTGCTCGATTCTACGCGAGCGACGATTCGAAACGGTGGAAAGGAGAAGCACTCGGGCAATTTTCGCCACGGGGAAGTAGAGCGTGCAAAGATGCGTCCTAGAATTCAGAGGATCGCGAAACGACACTCAAATTTCGAGACGACATAATTGGACAATTCCAAAATTCAAGCGGAGACAGCGTGTCTTATGCGAATTAGGTCGAACGCGTTACGACGTCATTAAACGCGATTGAACGTTCGCGTTTTCGCGGGGATCGTTTCTCGACGAACGATTTGAAATCGCGACGAATTTGTTTCCAGCCAAGGCACAAAGGCACCTTGAGCATAAAGCGTCGCCTGAGCGACGCCTGTGGCGTCGTGGCGCCGAACGTGCGCCGGCCGAGCATCAGGACAGATCTGATGATCATGAGGACGAAAACGTGTTCGCTGGCCGCCGGGAACGAGAACAATGTGCCAGGATCGAGGATCACACTTCGTACCCACGACGCCAGAAAGACGTGCTCCATTCAGTGATATCTTCCGAAAGTCTTCGCGAACTTCAATTCGAAACGATGACTCCGTGCTCGATTCTCGCGGCGGATCGCGATCTCCCGCGGATACACCCATGCGAAATAGATTATTCTTTTCGCATCTCATGTTCGTTTAACGGAATAATGTTTTTAAATGACAACGTTCGTGCAGTAGAGATAATACTCGGCGAAGAATCGAGGTTCCTCTCCCCAGAGGTACCGTGAGAGCGACATAAACTGATATCGTATTTTTACGCAAAAGTCGAGGAGCATCGCGAGTAAACGGGAGTCGCGCGAAAAGGGAGAACACAAGATATCGTGAGCGAGAATCGTCACGGAAACGAGGACGTTTCAAACCGACCACGCTACTCGCCTTGATCAATTAAACAAATAGCTCTAGCATAACGTCCCGGAAATAACAAATATATTATTAAAACATAAGATACGATCCAACGACGGGTCGATGGCCGTATTAAATAAAACGGCGTCGATCGGAAGACGGAAGAGTTCGACGTAATTGCGGCTGAAACGAACGGGAGACCGTTCCCGTGATAACTTCTGGAGCTTTTCGAGCGTTATCAGAGCAGTCGACCATTCGCGCCCTTAGGCGAGGCAATTAAACTTCTTTTTTTCCCCGTTGTAGTTTCGCGGTGAGAAACCTGCTCGACCGAGCGATGATTTTATTTGCAGACGCCGGCAAATGATTTGAACAGTTTTTAATTACAATTTCACTCGGAATCGAGGGGAGATCTTTCGTAGCGTTTGCTGAAATGGTCGACTGATCGTGACACTTTGATTCTACCTTAAGTATGACTGTCAAGCCGATGCGAACCAAATACCGTATACGTGTATATAGCTAATTTATTTATGAAATAAGATGGCACATTGTACCGAGCACGCGTACATATGAGCATTTAATGCGTTTATCAATCATAGCGAAGCCTCGAATTATGTTCGACATCGTCCGAACTTTGGAAGTCAAGCCTGAATCTTATACACTTGGACGAACCACGAAATCTTTCTTAACAAATTATTTCCAAGAGACAAACAGTCGACTTGTTTTCGTAACCTTCCACATCCGAACTGTATTCGATTTATTCTACTCGGAATTTCTTTCGCCCTGCGACACCGCATATACGCGTACACATGCTCTACTCGATAATTAAACGATCGTTGCTGTACTAATCAAAGCGCATGGAAGCAAAATATGTACGAGAGACGTCTTTTCATAAAACTGACCCCTGATTTTCGGACCAAAAGAACGTTTCGTTCTCTTGTAATAAATGCGTAAACAACAAACCAATGCGCGTTCTTTTTTTTAATGTCCGATGTCCTTTTCATTAATATTAACACCGAGGACAGATCGCTGGTAATCTCTCCTCGGTGATATTAAATACAGATTTTCATTGACAGTAAAAAGTGATGAACCGGATAATTCTTTTGTCCGGTTTCTTATGACGAGCAGAACAATGTAGTTAACGATTTTATGAAGAACAAAGGAATACGCAGGTATATTTCTAATTCAACGCGACACGAATCGTCGACCTACGCATTTATACGGTCATTTTCGAGCCAACGCCCTGACAACCTAATGAACAGACATTTTCGTTCAACTCCCGGTAGATTAATTAGACCCAGAAAAGTAAGTTCCCCGTGGATCTGCCGGGAGCCCTGAAGTGAGGCCAATTACTCGATTAATACGTTAATTAATTTCTCGGCAACGCCACTTCCGTATCCATTTTTAGTGAGCCGAATTACAGATTACGACGAGATCCATGTATACGTTCCAATCTCAAAACTGGATAACTCAAACAACTTAACGTTTTTTGGAGTGTTTCAACTTTATACACTGGACCGTTTTTATTTTTTTTACAAGTTTTGTCATGTTATAACTACGCTACTAACTTGCACACAAACAATATAAATACATTGTACATATTATTGTACAGAAAACGACGATGGTTAAAGAGACGCTCGAGGGGTAGCCGACGTCTCAAGTATCGAGATCCCGGAGACAAATCTCATTAGAAGCAGTTTCGGTAAAGAAAGCACGAGGTGACCACAGAATTCCAAACGCGTGGAATGTTTAATTAAACTCCGTCAAGAACCCGGGGAATTTCGTACGAGGCGTCACAAGACTCGTGCATCATGCAAGTATCTACGTTATCGTCGCAGCCGTAATATCGAGGGTACAACAGCTTCGCCCGTGAACTGACCTCGTAATTAATTCTGATTTCTCGTTGCTCTACCATTTTAATTCAAGGGCTGCTCATTGAAAAAGATTTAACGCGTTGTTCCTCTTCTACGTTATGTTGCTCATGACGATCGGCCCGTCGTTCATCACGGGAAACTATTTATAATTTAAAGATCGTCCGTAAATTGGAAAGGTCCACGAGCAAAACTTCATTACGCGAGATATCCGCAGGACAAATCCTTTTGTTATCTCAGTTTCATCGGGAAATTGAAATAACGGCGATGGTTATGGGAAGCCAATGCATTTTCCGATATCTCGGAAGGATTGGTAAGTTGCCCCATGCGATGTTTGTGCAGCGCGTATAAGCAATCTGCAAAGTATTTACCAGTAACCATAGGATCGTTGAAAAAGAAAGAACGAGGCAGAAATCACTTTTCGTGGGATCGCGAGAGGCGAGCGCTCATGGGAACCCTGGAAATGAGTTCGCCGATCTAACCGAAACGGTGGATTTTATTTTAACGGGGTGGTTGGCGAAACTCGAGAACAGTCTGTACCTCTAACAAACTTTCGACATGAGAATTCCCAGCGGGGAGATAAATAGAAGATATCTGAAAGTGCGGCAACGATAACTATGAACGAACTACGAAATTTCGCACGAACAGTGGCTGCCACTGGATCCGCACGATAATAATACGAATGAATCATCGTACTTTCGATTTACAAAGAAAGAGGCAATAATGTTGTTTGTAATCATAACTTCGTGACAATAAATGTTCGTAGATAAAAGGTCAACATGATCGTAGTTATTTTCATCTTCGGCAAGCTCGTTCTTTCAATGCGCTGCTCTACCCCCTCCCGAATCCTAACTTTATTATTCTGATATTTCTATACATAAAATACATTATAAATAATAATACAGTAGAACGTCCATTATTCGGACGCCATCTTGCCAAAACGTCCTTTGTCTAAATATCCTATTATCCGAATAGAGAATAAATCCCTTGTATGTGTATGTACGTATCTAAACTATGGATTTAGCGATGTATACATTGTCACCTTCTCTACACGACGTCTCATTTCAATGTTAAATCAAACATTTCAGAATACGATATTCTGAGTGATAACGTTTTGTCGAAATCTGACAAGTATAATGAAATGAGAGAAGATACAAGGGAATATTTTGCTCTGCCCATGTACCATCACGTTTAGAGGCTGTTTCATTTCTACTACATTTACATACCTGACAGTGTTCATCGTTTTCGAAAAATTATTTATCAAAACGAATTTGTCTCGCAATTAGATTGAATAATCGACGTTCTGCTGAGATATGCTTAACATAGAATGAAAGAGAAACAATCTTACTGTTCAGGTGAAACGCCGGGCAACATGTTCCTCATTGCGTCTTTTCTTGAAAGGAGATGACAAACCCGATATACACTCCCGAAACTAAACGCGTACACGCACGAATCAATCGAAAACCGCGCACTGTCACTCATACTCGCAATAAATTTTACAAACGCACGAATCAATTAAACTGTAACGTTCTGTTAAATAAAAAATAACCTCGAGTTCGAACTTGAAAGCGGTCAGATGCGTACGATTAGAGCAGGCGCGTACGAGCTGCAGTGTCGACCTCTGAATGCGAGAAGCTGAGACGGCTGAGACTCTCGCGTATGCGCATTGCCTGCGAGGCACTGCCATCAATGAAAGTAAATTTTGTCGGGCGCGCCTACTGCCGAGAGTGCGATGATGAATCGGCCAAATACTTTCGAAAATGAACTTTGAACCACAGATAAAACTGTCGTCATTCTTTGGTCACGTTATAAAATATTAATCTATGCACAGTGTAACAAAAATTATACGTAAACTTTGCTCTTGTGAAGTAAAGTTGCACGTGGTTCCTACTGATTTACGAGTGAAATATATTTTGGAATATTTTTCTGCCAGTGTAAAGTTAAATGTTACCCAACTACAAACAGTTCCTCGATGAAACTGAACGAAACTGTCACGTTCCGTTTGCGGTGTGAGAACTGAAATACGTAAGTACTCGAGCATCATTATTTCGTTACGTACTCCACAATTGACTATACATGCACGATAATTGTTTCTGTATCAGTTCACGGTGCGGGTTTATCGGCAGTATCGATTAATCTATAATTTTTTATATAATAAATGCGTCGTACGACAACTTGTATACACTTCGACTACATGTATAAACTGCACGCGAATATTTCATATTGCAGTAATTAACTAATTTATCGTATTCACTAATCGATAAATTGAAATGTTCAATCGATAGGTATCGTACGATTCAAATTTAAACAGTAACGTATTCGAAGGATGTATTCATACATCTCAAGGACCGATTAACAAAACGTAAATCAAAGCAAAGTACATATTTCTATTGCTTAAAGTTTTTAAATAATCAGTGGTTAAAAATGGGTGGTGGAGGACGCGATACAAGCATTTTTAGTTACGATACGTTGGTGCATGCCATATCCGGAGCAGCCGTAAGTATATTTTTTTTAATACATTCAATCGTAATTATATACGTACATGTTAATCTTTAGGAACAATGTTTATTGTTCCACAGGGCAGCGTCGTTGCTATGGCAACGTTCTTTCCACTGGATACAGTACGAAGCCGTTTACAATGTGAGTGTATTTTCTATTATGTTCAAAATTCGTATTAAAAATATTAATAACCGTTTTATATTACTAGTGGAAGAAGACCGAGAATCAAAGAGTACAATTATCACGATCCGTGAACTGGTGGCAAAAGAAGGACCGTACGTTCTTTTTACGTAAACATATTTACATTATGATTATTTAAATCGTATCTACATTCGAAATTTCATTTTTAGGAGTACTTTGTACAGAGGAATAATTCCGGTTTTACAGAGCCTGTGCGCCAGCAACTTCGTATACTTTTACACGTTCCATGGTTTAAAAACTCTCAGAGGAAACAGGAACCAGTCAGCTGGAAATGATTTACTCGTTGCGTCAATCGCAGGTATTGTAGAATCTGCATTAAAACTGTTATTACAGTATTTCTTCGCTAAACGTGACAAAGTCCAACAGTTTACTATTCACTATTACAACTTTATGTTACCTTACCTTCGACCCATAGTCCATTAATGTTTGTAGGTGCGACTCTTTCCAAGACTTCGCATTGTTATTAATCGAAGAAATACTGTATTTATCATTTAATCAGTATTAATTGTAAGTTTGATTTATGTAGGCGTGATTAATGTCTTGACAACGACACCATTATGGGTAGTAAATACTAGATTGAAGATGAAAGGAATTGGGACCTCTCAGGAAAGAAACAATAACGAGTACAGCACGTTATATGGTCTGTATGTCTAAGTGTAAATTAAAAGCAAAAGTAAATATCTTTGATTTAGAAAATTATGAATTTTTTCTTCATTACTTTTCTAGGTGGCCTTTTACATATATGGAAATATGAAGGTCTGGCAAAACTTTGGGCAGGAACTTTGCCAAGCTTGGTATTAGTTGCAAATCCAGCTATTCAGTTCATGACTTACGAGTCTATTAAGAGAAGGGCTGTTGCATCCTTGCGCGGTGTGCAACCTCCTGCATGGATCTTCTTTTCAATCGGTGCCTTGGCTAAGATGATAGCAACCGCACTAACTTATCCATTGCAATTAGTCCAAACCAAACTAAGAGTATGTACTTTTCTTATTTACTCCATTTACACGTCAATACAAATAATTTCTCCAATTGAAGTTTTCATTATATTTTCAGCATGGTCACAATTATCCGAACTTACGACCGAACGCTGGCAGCTTGGAAATTCTATTTTACATATTGAAGTAAGTATGTTTTTGTATAACGTCGTCAACGTGATTGAATCCACTTCTTATGCTCAAACACGCAATTACTTGCAGGAAGCAAGGAATAGGCGGATTGTACAAAGGAATGGAAGCCAAGCTAATGCAAACCGTTCTCACGGCAGCTTTAATGTTTCTGACTTACGAGAAGATTTCAACATTTGTTTTCCGTATTCTATTACAGAGACCAATATTGAGATAGTTGTTCAAACATTCAGTAATGTAAAAATTTATTAATATCGTTTTAAAATGATGTAGTTCAGATTCAAAGTTAATTATAGGGGGAATTGATATGTATAATGCCAAATATGATTGTACCAAACTTTTGTGAAAAAGAAATATTGTTTGTTAACTCCCTCGTGTTGTGTCGTATAGACGATAATCAACGAGTTAGCATTGGAACGTCGGGCGAGGCTCTTTTGTTTAACCAAAAGCTTCAATATCAATAGAACGAAAAACTAGCCATCGCGTTTCTGTGTACATCTGGAAAATGTGAACCTAATCACCGAGAATACTGGCGAATCTCAAGAAAACGCACTTCCGGTTCCAGACACGCTTCCGCCGTCAATTCAGTCAACCCGCATCGCCTGTGTCGCAGACACGGAAAGTAGAACCGAAATGGAACGATAAACAGAACAAACGTGTCGACTCCGTTGATCAGCATAGCTTAACATTGAAGGAGATCGAACGCAAGCCCACAAAGGCTATTCTAAGAATCTGGAACAAATTGAAGCCACGCAAGACCGCGAGAAAAAAATTAGACCTCGCTAAGCACGAGTCGTTACCTTCTGTGTAGGTTTTTATGTCGAAGCAAACATGAAATTGAGTTCCTCGTGTTTTGTAGAAATTAATAAGCGTTTCGTTTATCTTGGGTACTTTAATATCTTCCTGTTTCTCTGATCTCTCATCGCATTAACTTGTCTGAGAAAGATTTTGTATTGTCGCCAACGGATATTAATGTATCCGAGATAAACAGAATGCGGTGCATTCTATGCGAATGAAGAATAATTTATCTCAGACGGAGATCTAATCATGTCGAAAAAACGATGAGCGCGAGATCGCAACGCGGGGTCAACGACGTAGCGGCGACCAAACGATTTCGTAGCCCGAACAATCGCACGCCAAAGCAGCACATTACGTATGACTATGATGCTGCGATCAGTCAGCCGGACGTACCGAATTTATTAAATTGTAAGAAGATCGGTCGCGGCACGATGGTTAGTGCACCGATTAAAAAAAGGGCCGTAAAGCCTCGCTTAAAGGGACAAATTACGTCGAGCAAGAGTTTTCAGAAAAAGTCTCAAGAATTAAGAGCGAGACAAAAGAATGCGAAAGAATTATTGTCTGTTAGTAAGAATGCGAGTCACGAGAAAAAAACGAATGCCCCTAAAGGCATTCTCGAGGAAGAGAAACAGGTCGCCGTAAAAGAGAACGTTACCAGCAATGGTGATGTTGACAATTCGTCAAATCGCTTGGGGGTGTGTTTTCGTTTTCTTCTCCTTCTCTCTTTTATTTTCCGTTTTCTTTTCTTTCCATCTTGACTTTATTATAATACATTAAAAAGTGTTGCTATCACGATATGACATATTTAGAAGAATTTAATAATGAATGACGAAACTATTTTATCCAAGGATATAACAGAAGAAACGATCACGACTGATAATCAAGATCGAGTCGCGCAGGAAAAAATTAAAGACGATGATTGCGAGAGTATAACAAAATCGCCAGTTCCGGTCAAGGGCAGTAAAATTCCCCGAGCGAGGATTAATGTTTTTCCTGTTCACACGTTTCAGGAATTCCATCCGGTATAATATTCTTCTGTCTCAAGAAATTAAAATAGTAAAAGTTAAATGACAAGAAATGGATTATGCCGTAGGTAAAGAAATTGGCAGTAAATAAATTGAGATGTCCTTTAGCAAATTCTGCTATCGACAAGTTAGTTAAAGTCTGAAGACTATAAAAAGGAATTATCTAATATTGCTAGAAGGAGCGTTTTAACAATTAAATTTTAATATTAAGGATTGAAAATCAAGAAAGGGATGGAAGAAAAAGATCGTGTAAAGATGAACCCAATTCATGTAGACAAGAAATGGTTCGTTTCGACGAACTTCAAAACCATACGAAGTATGCACGGAGAAAAGTAAACGCAAAGAAAGAAAATAATAATAATTCACTCAGAAACATTGCATTTTATTCAGAATAGTTTGGAACGGAGTCGAGACTTCAACGTTGGAAGCAGATGAGGAGGATGAAGATTCTAGATCGACGTCTGCCGATGAATCTCCAGCTATTATTAGCAGCATCGATGATCCTCGTGTTTTAAATATTCTACGTAGCTTGAAGCTCAACTGTCCGTGTAAATCGTGTACGGAACAAGATCCCCTTTCCAGCAGTCGACAAGAAGACGATAGCGATTTAAAAAGCTCATCCCCAGAAGAGAATAGAAAAAAAAAGTGATTGAAGTAATTGAGTTTTGGTTGGCCAAGAAATTTCTATTACCCTGTCAGCGTTTCTTATTGATTAACGTGAACTGTTCGTAACTGGATCCGATGTATCTTCTGGCCAACCTGTTTAATGAATTTGAAAGTAATGGTTCTTACGATGATTTTACATGATTATGAACAGGTCATTGAAGCATCGGAAGTACGTTGATTCGAGTTCGGAGAACGTGGACGTATCGTCTGATTGCAACAGCGAGAACATGAAAAGAAGGAAAAGTCGACGGAAAAGTATTTTAACTCATCGTATTAAAACTAATTCAATGATAAACGCGTCTCCGAAAATTTCAAATCGTCGACGATCCAACTTCTCCTTTTTTAATACTCTTTTTGACATCGTTTTCTGGCCTTATTTGTTTCTAAAAACGAATCGGTGATAGTTCGCATTCTTTTTTCCTTTGAAAAAGATCATCAAAAAGAAAAAAATCATCTTTTGAGGAAACGAATATGTTTATTTAGCGATTCCTCTAAATAATTTTCTAGGAGAAACCAAGAAACTGTTTTATAAATGCACCATTCTTTTATCGACAAATTATATAATTTTATCAATTGATAATACATTTCATTCTTCGTACAGTTTACAGAATATTTCGAGAAGTATTTAATAGAACGCTACTGTATATATTTAGTATACAAAACTTGAAAAGCGTGTTAAGAAAGGATTATGTATTTACAAAGAATTAACAAGAGAAGCGAGTTAAAAAAGATGTGAATGAGGGCAAAATCTAAATAAAAATTTCATTCACGATTTTACAACACGCCGATTCCTGAAAACAAAAGAACAATGTTAGCATTCTTCGATTAAATCTCGCTTTCCAACCCGATTGATTGACATACCTTTTTTCATAGGTGTTGACATGCTTCTATGGAGCTTCTTTGAAAAAAATGACAGGGTCAGTTTGTCGTAGAGATTGTCGATTTCACTGACTGTATTCTCTAAAATTCGCGTAAGAGCTTTTTCGTTTTGTACCAAAGCCCTGTCAGCGATTAGAGATAAATGTAGATATCCTCTATACGTTAACAATGAAAATCCGATTCCTGTGTTAACTCTGAAATGAATATACTTGCAGTTTGACGATTTTTCACATAAAAAAAATAATATGAAAATTACCTGTTCGGTATCCAAAAAACCATATTTTTCAAAGGGTTGCCTAATAGTCTTACTTCTTGAGGACCAACTAGATTACTAAATACCATCGTGCTGTGGCTTTTAAATATCGGTCGTAAGAGTTTGTCAGGCAATACAGCTGAGAGGTATTTCATCACCAAAAAATTTACCATGTAATCTGGGCTCCTCCTCAGCTTATTATTAGCTCTTTTGATATCCTCGAGGCGATCCAGGATTTGTGAATTTACAAATGGATCAGCTAATTGTTTGTTATTTATCTGGGAAATGCAAAGCGATAATATACCAACTGAGAAGTTGTTTTGTAACGGGAGATTTTCGCTCCATTCTTCGATTTTCATCGGCAGAACGACGCTCAGTCTCGTTGGGACAGGTTCGTTCGTCTAGAAAACATATCGACTTGAATCACCGCAATAATTTATTTATGAAAAGAATACGTGCGATGAAAAAATTGATTTCTTACACGCAGAAAATACTTGTGTAAACTAGCGGACAAAGCAGCCAGCAAGACTTCGCCAAATTTGGCGCCTGTAATACATTTTATATTTTGAATTTTGGTAAACAGTTTCTGATCGCAAACGTTTTTAAAATCGTCCTCCAGCCAATAAGAGATTATCTTTTCCCCTGACAATTCTGCCCCATGGAGTGCACTGCAAAAAAAAGTACTTTCAGTGTGCACGTACTTACGAACAAGATAATTAAAACGAACCTTTTGTCCATGCTTCGGAAAGCTTGTTGAATCAAACAGCCAGGGGCTTCAATAATGATCTTCGCCAGTTTTAAACACACTTGGATCTTCTTACGAATTCCCTTCTCAAATTCAAATAGAAAGACGTTCAGTTTTTCGTATTCTGCCCTTAGGAATATTTTGATCTCCTGTTTCAAATCTCCAAAATTAACATTTCGAAAATACTTCAAACCAGCATCGATCTGATCTCTCAGCAATTTAAAGATCTCCAAGTACACCGCGAAATGAATGAACGGCATGGACGCCGACATAACGTCTTTCTGATACGTACACTGCAATTTAGTGTCTCGGATTAAACAAGGACTTGCTGAATTCATCGTAGACGTAATCTGACCGGTCTTCTTTGTTCTCTCGGTCTTAATTTTGAAACTTATGTTCTCCAACTGTAAGAACGTTTCTGGGACTGGTTCCTTGTCGACGATAACGTCTCTGAACAGCTTAAGAAGAGCCATACCGTCCCCGAGGGAATGGTGAACGCGAAACAAAACGGGGACCCTAATTTTGCTCGCCAAACGTTCCTCCGTTCGCCGAAGATAATGATGACTCGATCTGGGACAACACTTGCCGATCAGGATCTCCCAAGATGCCGTGTGATTCTCGGGTAACGGCTGATTGCAGACATTCCATAGGACCCTTCTCAAGTGGCCGTTGTAAATGTTATCGCAGAATCCATCGCAATTCGTACGTTCGTATTCCAACCACCTGACTCGCTCCCTCAGATCGATCTCTTCACTTCTCTCCCAGTAATAATAACCGAACTTCCTCTTCCTTTTGTACAGCAGCTTCTCGAACGGCGAGCACACTACATTATTCCTGGCCAATTCTCGAAAACGCTCCAGGAAATTCACGTTCGAATGCCGCGCGTCTTTCTCTATGATCAGAAGGATGTTGTTCACTGAAAGTGCCGACGGATGTTCCACGGCCCAAACGCAATCCGTTCCATTGAGGAGACCCACGAACTTCTCCTTTAATTGTATTCTTAAAATAATGTCTATGGCGCGGCGATAGAGATACGAGAACGCTAACAGCAAAATGATTAACGGAGAAAAAAGAAGAGTATAAAATGTGAATAACATCTCACAGATTCTCGACATGGTGTTTTATTATTTTTACACTTGTTGAATATCTTCTTGATTATCAGTGATTATTATCAATAATGGAAAACGTCTGAACCCTGTCACTGTTAAGTCTTTAATCGCACATGCCTGTGCAACCTACGAAATCAAATAAAAATGAGATAAATTTCGTTTCCGAGAGGACGTTTACTTGTCATTTACGACGTCGACTTACATGATTATTGATTAAAGTTTGAACGACAGGAGTTCCGTCAGTGCCGGGCAGCACCAAGTAAGACCAGACTGAACAGAGTTCTCTGCTTTTATAGTGAAGCACTTGCCATCGATCGCTGCTAACTTGATTTAACGCTACTCTTTTATCCGGATATTATCTTTCAGTTGCATAATTTCTGATATCCTTACACGTCCGTCCCTATGCTAGCGAACACGACCTACGATCTTCTCCTTAACGCGATAGAAACTCTGCAACTGTATGGTTTTACGAATCTCTCCTTTGTAAATGCACTTACGCATACAATTTCTTTATTTAGATTCTAATGACTGAACAGTAAACAACGATTACACGTATGTTTAAAAGAAAAAGTAGTGTTGCTATTTCTGCTCATGCTGCATTACGCTCTTAGTTCTTGAAGCGATACAAAATTTTTTCTGCGCAGACTCATCTTTCAATTTTCGTAATGCATCCTAAAACATGATTGCTTCTCATTAAATTCACGCTTATTAGAATGTCATTACTTTAATTAAATTATTTAAACCTGTAACATTTCGATGGAATTCTGTAGCCGGATTTCTTGATCATCTTTCCGCTTTTTCAAGTTCAAATATTTTTTACAAACGTTCTTTACCACTTTGTTCCTTTCGACAAGTCTATCACCGATCGTTAATAATTTTTGTTGTAAACTATTGATCTAGAATTTTACCTTTTACATTAAAAGTTTACTTTCGAATCAGGAAGAATTACCTCTTGCAATTTTTCGTTGAGAAAAGATCTCGCAGCGTTAAGCTCCCGTTTTAATTGGTAGTTTTGCATTAACAAAGCGTCATATCTGATAAATAGTTTAACGTTAACTCTCTTCTGATAATACATAAGAAATTACTAAAAGAAAACGAATGTTTCTATTTCCTATGGAACATCTTATATAATTAATAAATAATGCTACTTTTGATGCCAAGTTCTTTGCACTTCTTTCTTCAGAGATTCTGGCAGTATTATATCATTTCCGAGACGAATATCCGTCACGCTTTGACGAAATAAATCTAAAACCGTAATTTACGCTATTTTATTTACCATTTACGGTATTTGCTTTACGTTTTAACAACTTTCAAAGGTCCTCGCGTACTGAGCATGTTCTTGTTGCGTTTATTTGCCTTCTTGAGATCGTTTACCATAACTTTATTCTTCATTTTTAAATTCGAGTATTGCAACCATCGTTCGGCCTCCAAGTTCCGCGAAATCATCAAACTCTCTTCCAAAGATTTCACGGTATCGCGAATGCTTGTTACTTTCATAACGTACTCCTCCGCTTTTCCTACACAAAAATCTTGCACGTGTTTCTGATGCATTTTATAATAAATATATTTAATGTACTTTTATGAATATCGATGCGAGTGAGAAGATATTTGAATATCGCTATAATAAATTTGCTAAAACATAGAAAAAGATGCGAGCAGTCACTGTAAACAAGGAGGGATAACTTGAATACGAAATATTAACAGATTTATTATTAAAAAGTTTTATTATGATACAAACATACTGGAATTATTGTGTCCTGACAAAATTCTTGGATACACATATATTTTTTACAATATATTAACATGGTAGGAATCATTCTTTTAAACGCAATGAATATAATATGTTACATATGTAGCGAGGAAGTATGTGACAACAATATAACAAATATCTTCTTCAAGTCTTTCCATTCCATTGATCCCTAGTTGGAGCTAGGAGAACACGCCACGTTTTCTAACTCTACGTGCGAAGTGGTTCCTGAATCCCTCGAGTCTTCTGAACATGCCACAATTTCTATTTCTACGTGTGAAATGGATCCAGAGTCCCTCATGTAATCTGAATATACTATGTTTTCTATTTCTACGTGCGAAGTGGGCCCGGAATCCCTCGAGTTATCTAGACATTCCATATTTTCAATTTCTAGCTGCGAAGTAGATCCGAAATCCCTCGATTCATCTGAACGAGCCAAATTTTCCATTTCTACGTGCACAGTAGATCCAGAATCCCTTGAGTCATCTAAACATTCCATATTTTCTATTTCTACGTGCGAAGCGAGATCGGAATCTCTCGACTCATCTAAACATTCTATATTTTCTACTTGTACATTCGAAGTAGGTACGGAATCCCTTGATTCATCTGAACATATCATATTTTCCATTTCTGCATCCGAAGTAAGTTCGGAATCCCTCGAGCCATTTGAACATGCCAGATTTTCCATGTATGCTTCCCACGTGGGTCCGGAATCGGAATCCCTTAAGGCATTTTTAATTAGCCATTTTCTTAACATAGAATCGTGGGGCAAATTCAATTTAGTGCGAACAAACTTGTAAGCCTTCGGAGAGTACGAATACAGTGACAAAGCAAAGCTTCTGATCTCCTCACTGTATCGTTTTCTATTTTCCGACGCCGACGAATTTTGTAATTCGTTTTTCAAAATACTTAAGAAAAACCCGCTAAAGTGCTTGTGCAACACATCTTCTATCGACTGCTGTTTACGTATGTTATTTTTCTTTAGGTTCTCAATGGTATCGTTCATGTTGGTTAATCGAGCTTCTCGCCGCAATAATCGCTTTTGAAGTATTTTCACTTTCTGTCGTAATTCTATCACAGCCTGCGATGGTCCTAAGGTATTATCACATAGTTGGACCCCGACATCCTTCTTCTGTACCGTACTGTATTCTTGCTGTAAGAATAAAGTATAATTATAGGTTTCAATTCATAGATAAAATTATATAAACGCGATGAGAAAATTATACCATTGTTTGAATGGCAACATCCCTTTTTCCCGTAACATTCAGGGTGTGCTGTAACAATAAAATGTAAGCATAAGTTTCATTTCAGGCTCCATAAACAATTTCATGAAAACATTATAAGAAATTCATACCACTATGGATTGCGGCTGCTCTTCGTTAAATACTATATTTGTACTTGAAGTTGAAGGCCCACAATTTAGTTTCTATAAAATAATACAATTTCTGAAGAAATAGATAAATTCATTTCTTATATTATACAATATATTTCTATGTTAGCTATGTAATGTACATTTGAAATTACAGTAAAACCTCGGTTTTCGAATGACTCTCGGAAGTTTGGGAATGAAGCTTCTGCTAATGTACAGATGTTTACATACCTCGTTAGTAACATCGTAATCAAACAACGTTGGTATTGCATCCCGCTTTAAAATGCGTCGCACGCTTGTAGATGTGGTAGGTTGAAAGCAATCAGTAGTAAAATGTTTACTACAAATTTTGCTGTATTTGCATACTTTGCGTCGTAAACTCGAAGGTATCGCCGCAACGAACTTCTCACAGAACTCCACGTTTGATGGAAAACTGCACAAAATTATACCTCTTATAAATATCAATGTCACATACATGGTTTTAGTTATAAGAAAATGAGTAGTATAACTTTAATTTTCACTTACGAATGAAAAGCAACATCTTTGCTTTTCTTCCATTCGCTTTTACAATTTTTTATGCAGCATGAATAACCCATTTCTTTTTTCTCGCACACTGAACGTGAATAACTCTAACCTTAACGGTGCTTTTGATACAAACAAATGTTAGTTGTCGCAACGTCTCCACGGTCGGTTCGGTCGGTCTGTGTACCCCTACCATAGGCAGATTCATTGAGATCTATACTAGCTGGAGACAATATGTAATACCCATTTATACATATATACATATATATCGCACGAGCTGCAGCCGCGTGTTGGTTTGTCGGGCGCTAAAGCTTGACTCCGGCATACTTATAGACGAAGGATTAAAAAATATAAGAAAACAACCATACTTTTTTCGGTGCCGCTATTGTCCTCGCACGTCGGCCGACTCACCAGCCTAAAGACATCCAGCGGATATGCGTTTTTTCCAGCAAATATCTGAGTCACTAATAGTAAACGCTGCGCCTAAACTCTGAAGCCTGTATCTCCGGAATATCTTTATCTATCCTAAGACAATTCATTTTTAGATTGATGGTAATATCGTAAATGTGAACAAAGAACTGCACCTTCTTTCTTTTCTTTATTTCAATTAAATTACATAATTAAATAAATGCATACAATGTGCAGTCGATGAAAATCCCTTGTTTGCGGATCGAGAGTTGAATCTTGTTTGTTATAAAAATATACACGAAATAAATACGCCTATATTGTCAAGTATCGCAAATTAATGCATACAAAATATATTTAATTTGTTTGCAGCATAAAGTACAGAACATCACTTTGAGTCTATATTAACATGTTTAAAAAAGTATAAAATACGATATGTGTTTGTTAATCATGATGTTCCCGGACAGGATGTGGCCAGGTTGTCTGTCACGTATTGTTGAAAATCCTCATGGATGCTCCGCAATTGTCCGGAACAACAATCCTTCGTCCTCTCCAATACGTCGATCAAATCTTTCCTTTGCTCTCCTTGACTTTTTAACGCTTGGTTGAAACATCTCATTAGATTCGTATCTATCGGCGGTACATCTACTGCATTATTCCGTACGACCTCAACTCGATTAATTAACGTGTCCAGTGATAATTTCTGTTCCTTGCCGTCCGATTGCCTAAAAATACGACTTCTCTATTTTTTTACCATGTCGAATTGAGCATATTCGCTGATTATCGTCGAAAAAAATAAAAGTAGTAATCGCTTACAAAATCTGTGAACACATATCGTACAATTCCAAACACTTAATATTGTCAGATTGGTTCTGAGAGTTCAAATAAAAGTAAAGCATCTCCTTTCCGGAAGGATGTTCTAAAGTTTTGTATATATTGTTCGTAATGTCGTTTAATTCACTCCTCTTGAGTCCGGAAACACAGTTTTTGAAGCAACCAACCATTTGGGATTCCTGCATACTTGACGCTTTGACAACCGACAATTCATTACACCTGGCTTCTCATTACTAGCGGACTTGAACAGTTCGCGAAAGTTTCATTAAATATATTGTCTGAACTTCGAATCCATGAACACTTGAATATCTCGGCTGTAGGCATTACGAAAAGGATATTGTAAGAAACGAGAATGTCTTATCTAACTACGTCATGAGATACTATCGCACTAATAATGTGGGTGATGTGGATAATATAATAAACGCAAAACAGTAGAATAGGGCAACTGTTTTACAATTATGTAGATCTTTGAATGCGAACAATAAATAGTTTAAGAGCTACATCGACTTAATTTTATTACCATTCCTTTAAAATTATATTATTTATTAGATTCACAGTACCTTTGATTCGTTAATTAACTGCCAATTATATGATCAACGCGAAAGTAACATTGAGAAATTAATTATCGATTCAGTTGCTAAATTTCGTAAACGCACGTACTTAACGACTGTTAACCGTTTGCGGTCTGTTGCTCAGAAGATCTGAACAAGTGTGGCATTCATGGATTCAGGTCCGCGATAGTATTGATCGCAACTTTTACGATATCAGTATTGCAAGGGTCTCGTGGTGGCTGATTATTTTTATCAGAAGGGTTGGTTGCCAGCACGCGCTGAATCGACATCGTATATCCTTAACCATTCACGATGAAATTATTATCGTATGATTTTTCGGTCCGACACTTCTTTCATAGGATTTGTTTGAAATTTACAATCGACGCTGTGGTAACGCTTACCTCTCACCGTATTCAACAATTCATAGGCACAAATATCAACGAATTTTAAAGCGCTTCGAGTTCTCCACGATTTCTGACATAGCGGCTTAAAGCGATGTATGTAACTGTTTCTGAATGAGACGAAGACAAAATTTCACCTTGCTATTCGTTCAGCACCGTGGCGCAGACTGAAGAACCGAAAGGAGACTCGCGACCTCGCGGGTCTCGTGCCAACGAGCGCCAGGCGCTCAAAATATATTCACCGAAATACGTACAACCAGTAAAAATTCTATTTCTTATTATAGCTACATTAGCCGTAGGAACTGTACAGCCATAAAAATGTAACAAGCAGTAAGCAATTTACGGAAATTCTCGAGAGTCACTGTGTCGTCGCATGTAAGCGCGAATTGGCATCGCATACCAGAAATGGTCTTTATTATTCGAAGCATCGTTTGTGAAACAGCTTCTCGTTATTGTAAATGCAGAGCACATATATCTACTTCATGAGAAAATATTGATACGGAAGGCTTACGTCTTATATAGTATATGTTTGACTAATCTTACTAAAAATCTTTACTTTGAATCACATTTTTTCTATAATAACTTTGCGGCGATACATGAATTGTATTTTTCCTCTGCTTTATTTGAAATTAAAATCATTTCGTTTTATTTAAGACGAAAATATTCGATACAATAATTGCACTCATCCGTTTATTCATCGATGTAGTGTATTTAAAAGTGGCCGCGCCACAAAATTGGCAGGAAAATATAAACACCTGTCACAAGAATGTACAAGAATTAAATGTATAGTATTTCTGTACTATATAACTATTGAAACACTGTTAATCATAAATTCTAATCATGAGCTCTGAATTTCCGGATCCCGACGATGAGTTTGACTTAATACACGAAGAGGAGTACGAGATCTTGAGAGAAATAGAAGGTAGTCGAATTATAACCTTGTCCTGCTTTTGTATAATTTATATAAATACAATTTTAACTTATTATCCATCCAGAACTTAAAAAGAAAAAGGATGATCTGTCGAGAAATGTTGGACAGTCACAAGAGAAGCTGAGGAATAAAAATGAATTAAATTCTGCTACCCCAAATTTAGATAAGGACTTAAACACTCCATCGTGTAGTATACAGAGTGAATTGCATGCTCCAAGCACTAGCAAAAACAATGGCAATGTTGAGACAGATATCATAAGAAAGAGGAATTATGATGAACTGTTTGGTGATATTTCTGATATATTGGACATAAATGATTTTGGTATTTATTTAATGCGTATATAATATTAAATATCCAAATTTGGTGACTAACTTTATTAGAATTTATAGTTGTGGAGCCAAGAGAAAAGAAACCTCGATGGGATGATGCTCAACAAGTTATTAAAGCAGTATTAGACAGTAGAGAAAAGTTTCATGAAGTTGGCAAAGGCATTTCTGTGAGAAGGAAACATGAAGAAAGCAAGAGAGACACGATATCATTGAGAGTTCCACACTGGAATTTTGTAGCCGTGACTAGGCCGGTCGATGCAGAACGTATATACGTAAGAGTGAAGAACGATGAACAAGTTGAAATAAAAAAAAGCAATTGTATATTTTCTGGTTTACTATCTGTGCCATTTGGTCAGCTTAAAGCTGAAGCTGAAGAAATTGTAAGTGATTTAGATATATACATCACTGGTCTTGAAAGGACTGTGTTATTATCTGTATCGAAATTATTTTACAGATAGTACAGAATGTTAAAAAAGCTAGTTGTGAAACTTTCAATATTTCTACCACGGCAACTATGAACGATGATGAACTGTGGGTTGACAAATATAGACCCAGATCATTCTTAGATTTACTTTCAGATGAAAATGTGAATAGAAGTTTATTGCACTGGTTGAAACTTTGGGACAAAGTAGTATTTAATCGAAATTACGAACAGAGTAAAAGGAAGAAACCGAATTTTGCGTTAAAAAATCGAAATCGCATTAATGCTTTTCGTACATTCAATAATCGAAAGACCGAATTCATGTTTGAGAAACCCATCGATGAGGTGGACAGTAGAGGTTTTCCGGTTCAAAGAATAGTACTACTCACGGGACCACCTGGATTAGGAAAAACCACATTAGCGCATTTAGCAGCTAAACACGCTGGTTATAACGTAGTAGAAATTAATGCAAGCGATGAAAGGAGTCCTGATGCATTTAGGTAATTATGTTATGTAACTTTTATTTAATTAGTAGTTAAACACTGTATAATTGTCGATTGTTAAATGTAGGGAGGTACTTCTCGCATCGACGCAAATGAAAGCAGTGATGGGTAGTGATCCTCGACCGAATTGTTTAATTTTAGATGAGATCGATGGAGCTCCTGCAGCATCGATCGATCTTCTTTTGAAATTCGTGCAAGGTAAATTGATTGAGAAAGGAAAAAAAGTAAAAGCCAATAAGCAGACTAACGTGTGTCATCGTCCTGTGATATGTATTTGTAACGAGTTATACACTCCTTCCTTAAGGTAAAGCATTCTCGAAGGACTCGTCAGCTTCCGTAAACAAAATAAAATTCATTTTATATTTCTTGTAGAGCCCTTAGAATGTCTGCGCTCGTTATACCAGTACCAGAAGTGAGTCCCGCGAGACTAGCAGACAGATTAATAGAAATTGCAGAAAAAGAAAATCTAAATGTTAGTCCGGATGCACTGATAAGACTGGCAGAAGTATCTAGTTGCGATATTAGATCGTGTTTAGGAGCATTACAGTATATGGGTGGCACTAAATTCAAAGATGATTTCTCATCTGCTTTAAAAGACAGTCGAAGAGGACTGTTCGATTCATGGAAACAAATATTAACAATTCCAGTAACTAAAGGCGGAATACTTCCGATTCCACAAAGAGTTCAACTTGTTTTAAAAACTGTGCGAAATGGTAAATTGTATTATATAATTATGTACATATATTATATTAATACAAGTTGTTTTGAATATTAACGACATTTAAGGAGAATCGGAGAAATTGGCTTCTGGCATATTCCATAATTATATAAAGATTCGTAATGATAAATGGAAATACATTGTACTGTGCTTGCACTGGTTTGAATTTTTCGATGAAATTTCATCTATGGTCGCAAGTTGTCAAAATTGGTCGATCATGCCTTACCTAAATTATGCATTCGTCACATGGCACTTGTATCTTGCAAAAGCAAAAACTGTTACAATATCTTACCCTTCTACTATGTATGAAGTAAGCATCGCAGCTATCGCAAATGCAAATATCTTTCGGAACAATAGTTATAGTTTACGACAAAATGTTCCTTTCATAGATGAAGCAGAAACTTGAAAGAAGCGAAGCAATCCTAACAACGGTACACCGGTGTAGTGGTCGTGATAGTACGATTTTAGCAATTGATTATGCTCCGTTTTTCCCGGATTTACTAAATCCTCTATTACGAACAGTGTCTGGGCACTTACATTCGAACAAAGAAAGAAACGATATTAATCGATTAGTTGATATTTTACTTGATTTTGGTCTCACCTTTACTCAAGAGAAAAGTATCGATGGGAGTTATAACTACAAATTAGATCCGTAAGTTACAAAATTGTGCTTTACATTTTTAAATAAAATACATATTCGAATTGTTTTTTCAGTGATGTATTTGAAATAGGCATTTTTCCCGAATGCAAGAATCGGCGAATGCTAGCATACGCAGCAAAACAATTAATTCTTCAAGAATTAGAAGCTGAGCGCGTACGACGAGCAGCAAATATCACTAACAACAAAAGTGATAAAGACGCGCGTAATAATGCACCTGTTGATCGAAAACCAAAATCTAATATTACAGAATCTAAATCTAATACTACTGAATCTAAATCTAGTACTATCGGATCTAAATCTAATCCTATGGAACAATCTAACAGAATTAAAGCAGGAGTAAAAGAAATTGTAAGAAAAATTTATTCGACTTTAATATCATTCTTCCTCCCTGCAAACATATTAGATTTGAAATTATAATTCCAGCAATACAAAGATTTCTTTGGAAGGCCAATTACTGTCGATCAGGCTAAAGAGAAGGATAAGGGATCTGTGAAATCGGGGAGACTTTCAAAGACTGATGGTACGTGGTATAGGTATAAAGATGGTTTCAGCAATGCTGTCCGTCGATTTGTTAGAATGGAAAAGCTTCTTTGAATTATATTATTTATGTAATACAAGAGTTGTAATTTATTAAATTTTATACAATTTGTCATTAAAAATAACCGGCTTTAATGCAAAATTATTCTGTACCAATTCTGCCTGTGTTTCCATCACTCCCGGTTGAGGGAATCTCAAGAAACTAATAGATCAACCGAAATATTTCTCGACTTAATCCATGAAACGATGCAGGGAAGAATTATAAATAATACATAATATGAATGAACTAATTTTTTTATTGTTTAGTTTCATATAATACTGTAGTTGATTAAATAGATATAACTAACTGTCTGCACTCGATTTCTATAAATTAGGACCAGCCTAAAAATGATCAATCTCATTAAAATCGTGACTAAGTATCATGATTCGTGACCTGTCTCATTTTCTATCTACTATTCGTATCACGTTCTTATGTCACGTGATATTTCGCACGTCTCATTAGTTCGAAACAATTTAATAAAAAAAACAAAGGTTTTACGTTGTTATGTAATTTTTGAAATGTACATTCTGCACACGGGAACAACTTTAACTATCGTTAGTAACATGAGAGATTTGATTTTAATTCAATTAAGCCCAAACTCGTAGAGTTGAGTCCCAGCTCCCAGTAGAAAGGGCGGTCCCGTCCGGAGAAACTCTTAAACAAGATACTCGATTCTCGTGTCCGTATAAAAATGCAACTCGCTGACATTTCAGAGTATCCCATATATTTACAGTGTAATCATTGTAACCGGCAAAAAGTAAACGTCCGCTGACGCTTAAGTCAACTGCATTCGCCCCGAATATGATACTTTCCTTTGCGTACACCGCTATTTCTCTGTCGGCACGTAAATCGAAAAGGCGACAAGTTGCATCGTCAGAACCAGTCGCCACGGCATCACCGCCTGGATGAAATTTTACCTAATTTGAACATAATACAATGTAATCTTCCTTTTTATAAAAGTGCAATCCTATTTTTAACATGACTGACTTTTACGTACAGAGTTAACGTCAGACTGATGTCCTTCGAAGCTTTGAGCACATTGGCCGGTCCTCATGTCCCATATTAAAACCATTTTATCGCAACTACCGGAGACGAACGTGTTACCAGTCTCACTCGGCGCCAGGTCGATCGACATAACGTCACTGGAGTGTCCAAGAAAACTCTGTAATAGTTGACCACTTTCTACGTCCCATAAAGCACACGTACTATCTCCACTACCGGTCAAAATTTGTTGATCGCTATTAGGGAACACGCAACAAGACATGTAAGACGTGTGTGTAGCAACAGTCTTTTTACGAGTTGATACATCATCTTCTTGACTCAAGGGATAGACAGTAACTTTGTTATCTAGTCCTCTGCAAGAAGTAAACGTAAAATTTCATGTAAAGGTAACAGTACTTATTATTTTGTCAATTTAACTGTGTACCCGCAAGCAACGAGACCACCACTCGGAGCATAAGCACAAGCCATAACCCATATGGTTGGCATAGTCAAAGCATGTTCTTTATTTGTTGTAAAAGCGTCCCATATTATCATTTTTCCATCCTGCCACAATTTCCATGAACAAAGCCGTGAGTCAGTAAAAGTGAAATATTATAAGTGCATTCTCACCTGTGAGGATGATACGATGTGACGCTTATCAGGGGACCAATCTGAGCAAAGAACTTTCGCTTGATGTCCTTTCAAGATACGACGTGGTTTTACATTGATACAACTGATTATTTCAAGTCTATCTGCTATACTAGCAACTGCAATAAAAGATGATTGACATTATATATATTTTTGTGTACCATGTAATAAATTTGATTGTAAGCTAATATTTACGAGTAATGTCATTCAATTTTTGTCGCTCATCGTCTAAACGTATCTTTAAACTCTCTGCTTCTTTCGCTAACTTTTCTATAAGCTCCAGCTCAGTGGCAGAATCCATGTTTTCGTGTTTATACTGAAAGACTTGTTAGCAGGAAGTATTTGGTTCTATGAAGAATATCATCTTTATTTCAGTGCTATTACAAAAATCAAACTTTTTTGATCTGAAACACAATTACTGATTAAAACATGATACATTTTACGTGTAAACAATGAGTTACTTACCTGTCCTGTCACCTGCCTTTCTTCAAAAATAACTGCAGGGCAAGTGCAGTTATTATGGGAATAATAGATATACTCCTGCATGAATGTATACTTTTTATTATCCTCACTCCATTTTCGATAATTATTCATTTGCTTTCACATAAAATCAACGTCTACGCGCGTTTTAAAGACGGTCGCTAGTAATAATCAATACAATACGATAATAACAAACTCCAGCGCCGGTGCAATGATGAATACATTCAACCAACGTA